TGAATAGCAAATACACCCTGGATTAGTAAACCTAGATTAATTTTATCAGGTTCTTTTTTAATAAGAGAAAGTCCTTCATTTTAAGAGTTTAACACCCTTGATTCTATCGCGTCAAATATTTTGTTCATTAATTTATCATTTTTATCAAATTCAACGCTAATAGAACTCACTTCTAAATCAATTTTATATTTTGATACCCAGTTCTTTTTTTCTGTTTTTAGAATATTTTTAACTTTATATATGACATTCTTTTGAATATCTTCAGCTGAATTAAGACCTTGACCTAAATTAATAGTTATTGTATACTTTGTTAGTATCCTTCGGACATAGCCTTCCAGGCGCCTTTCAGGCGCATCCTCTAAATTTAGTTCTTCCGGCACAAATAAAAATGTAATTTCAGATAATAAAGCATCCTTCGGACTAAGCGCTCCCTGGACTAAGCGTCCTTCGGACTTAGCCTTTTCGGCGTCTTTCAGGTGCCCCTCAGGCACCCTTTTGACGCTTAGACTTTCTGGCGCGTTATCATCTCCAGGAATATATATATCTATCAATCCTATTTCACCATATGTGTTTAAATTTAGCGAAACTAAAGGATACTCCATCTTTTAAATTTCTTTTCAATTTAAACAACATTTATTAGCAATTATAAATTATAAATTTATGTATATCTAAAGATTTTAATTTAATTAATTTAAAATTGATTAAATCGAAGGTCTCTTCAAATACTTCATCACTATCGTCAGTCTCTGTATAACCTTTAAGGAGATTTATTATTTCTTCAAGTTTGGTATCTTGATAAGGTTGTACATCTGCGGCATCCTTCGGACTAAGCGTCCCTTGGACTAAGCATCCTTTTGTTTTTCTTAATTCATTTTGCTTCTTTTCTATTTCAGCCAGTTCTTGTGGAGTTGTACCCATCACTTCATATGTACTTTTAAATGATTTATCCAAAATTAAACCCCGTTTTCATGTTAAAAACTGGAGATTTGCATTCAAATACATGCGTACACATATAAAGGATTTTTTAATTGTAATGGTCTGTACAATTTACAAAAATTTATAGCTAACTTAGTGTTAAAAGATTTGATGGAGAAAGGACAGATAATGTTTCAATATGTCATAATGTTTCAAAGACAATTTTAGTTCCTCTCAGATGAGGGCGCAAACCCGTCGGAGTTTGGCCGTAGCTTTAGGATCCCCTTAACGGTTTTGTATTTGACGACGATGGTGAAGCATTCGACAATTCTGAATCAGTATTTAACAGTTGTCCTTTGTCGAAGAACCGAAGGTTTGTCTCAAGAACCAAAGGTTTGTTTGATACATTACGTAATTTTCTTCCCATTTATAATAATAACATTAATTCATTATTTTTTTGAAAGAAATATTTATCATTTTTTGTTTTGTCAACTTTATATAAATATTTATTAACAATTATTGATACTTTTTCTAAATTTGCTTGGGCAATTCCTGTTAAAAATAAAACTAGAGAAAGCGTATCAAAGGCAATGAGTATTTGTTTTAAAAACCTATCGAATACGTCCTTTTTTGTAATTTTATTGCTTTTATGAATGATTTTATAGGTGATTTTGATGTTTTTTAGTTGATTTTGGTGGTGGAAAAAAATCCGGTCCAGAATGTACCCTTTTGTATACTACTATGTAGTTACTGACAAATGATAGTGTTTAAAAGAAACGTATGGCACAAGATGCTTTGTTTATTGAACGATTCATTCTTATCACCAACTGACGATCGTTACCGCAACGTCGCGGAAGGAAGGAATTGTGGAGTCGGCAGGACGTAACAACAGCAATGTAGTAAACTCTTCGAATGTTAGCGTGTGATTGCCGAGAACGCAGCGTAAATGATTTTTGACGCTCCGGACACCCGCCTCCCATATCCACCGAAATGTGGAGCCGATGGGTGTATGAATTCCACGACACGTTATCGGAGGCAGTCAGGTTCAGAAAATTCGGATCTCATAATGCTGAGACGCCGGTACGCGACGGTCAATTCTTGGTTTGCCCCGACGAATTTTGTCCCGTTGTCCGAATATATGGAGACCGCGGCGAGCGCAGAATCGAGAGTAAGCCTTTAGAAAGGTTTGAGTGGAGTAGTCGCTTACTAACTCTAAACGTATTGCCTTTGTCGCAAGGCAGATATATATCAGAGAATAGCGCGATATATACTTTACGCGAAGTAATACCTCGTCCAGCGGAGGCACGAATTTGCACGGGTCCTGCGTAATCTAGGCCGCAATGCAAAAAACACCGTACTGTTGTTGTTACGCGAGATTCGGGAAGATCTCCCATGATTTGTGTGGGAGTCGCGGCTCGTTCGCGAGTACACACAACACATTTATGAATGACAGATTTTACTATATTACGAACGCGAAGTATCCAGAAATCGCGGCGCAGAACATTTAGCGTGAGTTGCGGTCCGGCATGTAACGCTCGTAAATGAGTTTGATTCTCGATCAATGTAACGAGAGGATGAGATAAGAGAAGAATCGGATGTCGAACCGGCATTGGCAACGGGACTTTGTTAATCCGCCCACCAACGCGTAGAATTCCGTCCCGATCGAGGAACGGTCGAACCGAGAGAAGTGAGCTTCTCGACGAGAGGCTCTGATTTTTTGACAGCGCGTGTATTTCCGTCGGAAATAAGTCGGCTTGAATTTTCTTAATCCAGAAAATTCTGGCAATGTGGCAGTCGGATGCAGAAAGCGTAATGCTTCTCGATGCTGGATAGTGGGACGACATAAGCGAGAGCGACGACAAGCGATTGTTACGATACGAGCGATTACGACGACATAAGAGTATGTATTTAATAATATACGCGGTGACGCGAATTAATTTTGGCCACGACGAATATTTTGATGCCAAATCCCATGAGTCGCGAGATTCATTGCATTGCAATGAGGTAAATTTTTCTTCGAGAGAGGCTTCCGTTGGAAAGTGCGACACGTCACACGGCCATTTATCGTGATCGAAGAACAGCCATGGAGGGCCATGTCACCATAGCTCGCGATTGATAATTTCGTCGCCGAATATTCCGCGCAAAACGCAATCCGCGGGATTGTCTTCTGTTGACACGTGCCTCCATTCAATGTTCGGAAGGCGAGATTGAATGTCGCTAACTCGATTGGCCACGAACATCTTCCATCGAGATGGATGCTGACTTACCCACGCGAGCACGATCGTGGAATCCGTCCAACAATAGTATGGGATGTCCCTGTAACCGTTCGATCCGCGAACGAACTCGACAAGTCGCGAGAGTAATACGGCTGCGGATAATTCCAACCGTGGTATGCTTAGAGGTTTTAACGGCGCGACCTTTGATTTTCCGACGAGCAACGTTGTTGTGATTTTGCTTGCTGACGAAATAATTTTGAGATAGACGCATGCGGCATAAGCGTGTGTAGATGCATCCGCAAAGCCGTGTATCTCGGCGAGATTTGTGTTCGATCCGAGACCGACCCATCGCATTATTCGCGAATTATTGAGAAGTGAGAGCGGAGAATAGATGTCTCTCCACTTTGCGATGTGTGACTCGGAAATCGCGTCATCCCAACCGCTTTTAATTGAGCTGCTGCATAAATATTTTAGCAGTGATCGTGACCAAAGTGACCCACCCGAGCGGATCGTAAAACTTTGCGATCGCGGATAAGATCGTACGCTTGGTCTCCGGGGCGTTATCAGCCAGCGATACGCGAAACTCGAAAACATCGTTTGCCGGCTTCCACCCGATGCCGAGGATCTTGATTTGTTCGTCTTCGGCGAGAGGTTTTTTAGTGGCTAAACCATGATCCGCGATGTCAATATCCTCGAGAAGAGAGGGCGAATTGCTGGCCCATTTTCTCAATATGAATCCGCCGCGGTGTAACATTAAATTTAATTGATCGCGCGCTTGGCGGATTTAATTTTATCGTCAGCTCCAAAAAATAGGTCGTCGACATAAATATTATCGCTCAGGATAGGAACTGCGAGCGGAAACTGCTGACCTTCGTCTGTGACTAATTGTTTTAATACTTGAAGGGCAAGAAACGGGGCACATGCCATTTTATACGTTACTGTTAAGAGTTGATAATCGATAAGTGATTCGGAGAGCGATGATTTCCACAAAATTCGCTGATAATTTATATCGCGGGGATCGACTAGAATTTGGTGATACATTTTCGCGATGTCGGATGAATACACGTATTTATAGCGGCGCCACTGTAGTATTGTATTACCGACATGAGATCAGTTTGTAGTTTAGAGCCAGCGTGTAAGTGATCGTTTAAGGATGTGCCGTTCGACGTAACGCTTGAAGCGTTGAAAACTACGCGAAGACGTGTGGTTGAGCTGCTTTCCCGGATCACCCCGTGATGCAGGAAATAGACAGTTCGTTCGATGTCACCTTGAGGCATCGGCGATAGCCGCATATGCCCAAGACGCTGATATTCGGAGATAAAATCGGAATATTCTGTCGCGACCTCGGGTTTATCGCGAAATCTCCGTACTAGTGAATTTATCATTTTTTCGGCGCGAAATCTTGAATGACCGATATCGATCGGAGGACTCGTTTTGAACGGCAAGCGAACGATGTACCGTCCGTCGGAGTCGTGATAGTGAGTCGAGCAGAAATGCTCTTCACACTGTTTTTCTTGCAGCGTGAGAAATGATTGTCGTAGGAGTTCTTCAACCTCCCAAAAGCGACGAAGTTCTTCTTCGAGAGGGGGAGAGCTGATCGCGTGATGAGCGGAAATGCTGCTGTGAGTGCAATGAACGGAAGTCATTGTCGACTTAGATGGATCGTGACTCTCGAGCTACGTGAGCGGTCCCGAGATTATCCATCCGAAAATGGAATTCTGAGCGAAGGGTTGTCCGACGCTTCCTCTGCGAACACCGTCGCGAATGATGTCGCTATAAAGATCTGTTCCGATTATGAGATTGATAGGATCGGAACTCGTCGGATCCGCGTCTGCTCGCGGTAATTCAGAGAGATAAGAAAGCGACGAGAGATCCACGTGTCTTCTCGGAGTATAAGAGGTTAGCGACTTTAGAATTAGCGCGGTGGTAGAAAGCGACGGAGCGAGAGATGAGAAATAAATATGTGTGTCGCGTGTTGAAAAGTCCCCGCGTGAATCCCGCCGACGGCGGAAACGGAGATCGGCATACGAATGCGTTTGACGCGCAAGATTTGCGCTAAATTTTCAGAGATGAAAGTCATTTCAAAGCCCTGATCGAGGAGGGCTCAGACGACCGCGATACGACCCGACGGACTGCGAACCGTTACCCAGGCCGTCGCTAAGAGGACAGGTGATCGCTTTTGCGTTACAGTTGAAGCAATCAATGCATTTTCTTCCGCAGTCGTTTCCGAAGTATGAGGCGGCGAGCAATTAGACGGTGCATTTTTCAAAGCACTTGAGCTAGAATCCGAGTCAACATGTAGTATCGAATGATGCTTCTTGTGACAAACCCGACATGAATATCTACTTTTGCATTCCTGTGCGGAATGCCTCGCGCTCAAACAATTGAAACAACGTTTTTGTTGCTTTACTATATCGCGATGTTGACTCGCATTTTTGCTCACGAACGCCGGACATACATTAATATGTCGAGCTGGACACAACGGGCAATGCGATTGTGCGTTTGCAGAGGCAGTGGCGGCATGAACTCGCGCGGCTGCGACGAGTTTTGCACCGGTTTTAGAGGCTGACGCTGGAGCGGATGCCTCTAACGCGCGAGTGGCACCCATTTGACCACGTTAATATTGACCACGGTCCCAATTGACCACGTTGAGATTGACCACGTTGCAATTGACCACGTTGATATTGACCACGGTCCCGATTGACCACGTTGATATTGACCACGGTCCCGATTGACCACATTGATATTGACCACCGTCCCGATTGACCACATTAATATTGACCACGGTCCCGATTGACCACGGTCCCGATTGACCACGGTCCCGATTGACCACAGTCCCGATTGACCACTGTCCTGATTGACCACAGTCCCGATTGACTACGTTGATATTTACCACGGTTCCGATTGACCACGGTCCCGATTGACCACGGTTCAAATTGACCACGATCCCGATTGACCACGTTGATATTGACCACGGTCCCGATTGACCACGTTGATATTGACCATGGTCCCGATTAATCACGTTTATATTGACAATGGTCCCGATTGAAAAACCATGTAACACACACACACACACATGCGGGGGGTGCAAGGGGGGCCTTCGGCCCCCCTCCCGCACCCCCTCCGCCAGTCAGGCACAACGGACCTCGCTTTACAACTTGCAAAGTACATGCCCTAGTAACGACATGTATTGATCCGTGGTCAATCGGGACCGTGGCAATATTAACGTGGCCAACGTGGTTTATTACACTGTTCACTTGTTCGCGATTATAATGATCGGGCGCGATACGTACAGTAGCGAGTTATCGGATGACTTTTTGGGAAAGTCCGCGCTTGATGTTAATGAGCTATATTACTGAGCTATCGTCGGTGCATCTCGCGCTCAATATATATTAATTAATTAGGTCGTCGATTAGGGAGGAGTGTGGTGACCCTGACCGGAGCATGTCTCGTGCTCCGCTTGTCAGTCCGTTTCGTCAGCTGTTTACTCAGCTTCCGAAAACTTGGCCGTGACTTCCTTCTTTTTAGTCACGTCTCTTACTTTTATTTTATTAATAATTTTTTATTAATTTCTTCTTTCTTAATTACTTTTTCTTGAGCTCTTTTCCTAGTTTAATGTTTTGCTTTGCTCTGCTCTTTCTTAATCTTTTCTGTGCTACTTTACTTTTTTATCTTTTAATATTAGGAAGTTGGTCGGGTTACGACTCACTCAAAAAATACTGTGTCTACTTTATTAATATCCTTAAATCAAAATCTTACACGCTAGTTTAGTCGGTAATAATTACACAACATTACACGTAATGCTTTAGGCAAAAAGGAGATATTACAAGATTTAATGAGATGTGGTTCGCGAGTGATGAGAGATTCCGCAGAGAGAAAGACCGTTTACATTTAAACCCGTGATCCGCACTGTTATTTGTCCTTGTTACTGATAATATTCGTTCACGATAACCAAATGAGAAGTTTTCCGATACGGATTAAAGATAATTAATGATAATGACTGTTATGCCTCCGGAGAGGCACAGTAGTTGAGATCGTTTGCCGGAAGGAATTTGGGAATTCGGCCTCCGCCCGAGTAACTCACTGAGTTTATTGAAAATAAAGATTGACACTTTTGTAATCGGAATATATATATATGTTTTATTCGTAAATTGGCTTAATTACAAAGTTCCCGCGCGGGCAGAAGTCACGATCGGACACAGGCCCGATCGGACACAGACCCGATAGAACACAGGCCCGATCGGATACAGACCCGAATCGGACACAGACCCGATTGGACACAGACCCGATTGGACACAGTTCCGATCGGACACAGTCCCCATCGCGAAGCTAGGTCCACCCTACAATTGTTGTGTGGATGGGAAAATGTATGCGTGGACTCAGTGGGTCCCCCCCCCCTATGGGGGGACTCCACTATCAAAAAACTAGACACATAGGTTTGCATTGAACCACGCTTCGCGTGGAAAGTTGTAAACCTATGTGGAATCTTACTACGCATTAAAAAGTATATGCGTGGAGGCAGTATGTTCCACCCTCCCTACGGGGGGGCTCCACTTCCGGAAGATAAAACCTAACCCAAACCTATATATTTCTGATATACTGTGTCCGATCGGGCCTGTGTCCGATCCATCCTGTGTCCGATCGGGCCTGTGTCCGATCGCAACCATATGTGTCCGATCGGAATATATATTTCTGATATCCTGTGTCCGATCGGGCCTGTGTCCGATCGGGATGGTGTCCGATTGCAACCATATGTGTCCGATCGGAACTGTGTTCGATTGGGTTTGTGTCCGATCGAGACTGTGTCCGATTGCAACAGTATGTGTCCGATCGGAACTGTGTCCAATTGAGTCTGTGTCCGATCGAGCCTGTGTCCGATCGGGTCTGTGTCCGATCGGGAAATATTGTCGTGTCCGATCGGTAATGTGCGAAATCGGGACGATCCCGCGATGGATAATGTCAATTTGGACGAACTGAAATATATTATTAATTAATATACATCACACATAATGTCGCACACGAAAACACTGAACACTACTTACCAGATTAAGGCGAAACATTTTTATTCACTTTTTACTCGCTGTCAAACACTTTGTGACGGGCATAACGGGATAGACATTGTCTCGAACATTTTAGAGTAGGAGATGTATCACTTACAAAGAACGCTTACCTTCTGCACATGATAAGAAGACAAAAGTAAGCATTTTCCCGCGGACAACTATCTACAAGCCTTTTAAATATGAATGTATTATTATAATATGTAAACTACTATTAAACGACTATTGAATGACTATAGAACAGCTTTGAACGGCTTTGAACGGTTATCGAACGGCTATTAAACAGCTTTGAACAGCTATCGAACAGCTGAAGATTTAAAGCTAATGTATCTGAATAAACGACTTTTATTCTAACACAATTACATATTTAATGAAAACGGCGGGAAGACCCTGTGCGATCCTGAGCTCCTAAATTCCAATTGGCCAACGATCCCAAGAAAATCTCTGTACCTCCACGGAGGCACAACAAAATTGGTGGCAGCGGTGGGATGTGCCAAAGGATCGCCAGCCAACTCGCCGAATAAAGACCTGTAAAAAACCAATAAAGTGAACAGGCACGTCAGCAAACAAGTTAAAGCTGACGGACACAAGCAGAAGCAACATATACGAACGACACAAACAATACGAGAATCACGCCCAAGCAGCGGAAACTCGAGTAGGAACGCCAGTGTCCAAGGACCAACGCCGACCTACGACATCTCTAAGGACGACGCATCGCCGCCGGGCAACGACCGCCGTACGACGAGCATCAGGTCGCCAGCCTTATCAGCCGCCGAGCGAAAGACTGCAGCATGGGCAACCTACTGACCCAGTGAGCGAATATGCGAGCCGTCTTATAACTGTAAGTCCGTAATATATTTGTAATTGCGTGAATGTCGGAAGGTTCTAACGTACCGAAACCGATAGCGAACCGATCGTGGTTATTAAGCGAACCAGCGCGACGAGCGACTAGCTTAAGTCTAACACCGCCAAAAAATATTGATAACGCGCGAAGAAATTTAGAAACTCAATATTCTAGCGAAAGCGAGCCCGAGCTACCCGAGAACGTCGTCAACGAACGCGAATTTCCGTTCAATAGGTTCGACAAAAGCCTATTTCCGTGTGATACGACTGACCACGGGAGCAGTGCACTTGGACACAGTACAATTGGACACGGTGCAAATGGACACGTTACAAATGGACACGAGATTTTGCACACGGTTCAATTGGACACAGTGCACTTGGACACAGTAGCTTTTGGACACGTAAAAAAATACGCATCGTTTACTTGGACACCGCTCATTTGGACACTGTTCATTTTGACACCGTTTATTTAGACATCGTTCGTTTGGACACAGAAAGACGCGCACCGTTCATACGGACACCGATCATTTGCCCACCGTTCGTTTGGACACCGTTCATTTGCCCACCGTTCGTTTGGACACCGTTCATTTGCCCTCCGTTGTTATAAAGCGAGGGCCATCCTGCCTACCGGCGGGGTGGGTGCGGGAAGGGGGCCGAAGGCCCCCCTTGCATCTCACCGTATGTGTGTGTATGTGCGCGCGCGCGCGTGCTTCCTGTCCATGCATGTACTTTGTTATATTTCAAAC